CCCCCCCCCACCCCCCCGCGTCGACATCCCAAGCCCCCCGCGCTCCGAGCAGCGTCACTCTTATAATAGGCTGTTGTCTGGAGTGGCGCTGGGGTGGAGAAAGAAGCTGCTCCTCCGAGGCCGCGCCTTCGATCAAGCCGAGGCTGCAGGCTTCCCTGCTTAGCCGGGCGACGGTGGAAGAGCTGCGGCAGCAGCAGCGGCGGCAGCGGAACCCAGCTGGTGGCAGAGCGGTGGGTGGAGATCCCCCCGGAGCATTAGCCTAAGGAGCGGCGCTCTCCAGCAGCGAGCATGGTGGCCCCGGCCTGCCCGAGGCCTCCGAGTGTCCCGGCCGAAGCGCCAGATGAGAGGCTGCTCTGAGCCGGGAGTAGCGGAGCTGACTTGGCAGAAAGGAAGGGAACTCTCCCGACAGGAACAATGCAGCACCCTTTGGATCTGGGCGCCGCCGCCGCCCACTATTTCCCCGCAGACCCTTTCGTTGACCACCGGTCGCACCGCTATCGGAGCTTTATGATCGAGGAGATCCTGACGGATCACCCGGATGCCAAGAGCGCGGCGCCAGCCGGGGAGCTGCTCAAATTTGGCGTGAAGGCTCTACTGTCGACCCGACCCTACCACAACCCCTTAGGTAGGTCTTTCTTCGCTTGTGCGCTGCCTCTCTTGGTGGACCTCTGTGTGTGTGTGTGTGTGTGTGTGTGTGTGTGTGTGTGTGTGTGTGTGTGTTTGGACGGGAGGGGGAAAAACCAGGTCTTCTTGGAGGGTGGGGCTAAGGCGGAAATCAATCCTTGGTAGAGGATGGGGCTGCTCACAGGGCTTGCGGGAAGGAATATTCGCCCCCCAACCAGCCGTTCCTCCTCCCACCCAGCCCTGAAACCAGCGGGTTGGCTCCCATTGATCTAGAGAGGAATTGAGGCTCCCTTCTCCCTCTCCCACCCCACGTACCCTGCCTTTGGGGTGTCGCCCCGAGCTTATCTTCTCTGCAGCTGGAGACGGAAGCCCCCCTCTTTTCAGGAGCCCTCCGACTCAAAGGGCAGGGCCGCGCTGCAGCTGCGATCCTGCAATCAGCGGAGAGTTGATCTTGGGGGGGAAACGCGGGGGTCTTTAGTGCCCTGCCGGGACGGAGGATCCGGTAACCACCCCTTGCCTGCCGCGGTGGAACAGACACGAAGCACGGAGTAATTCTCTCTGAAAACGAGTGACAAATACGTTTAGTGGGTTTAAACGAGGACAGCCTCATTCCTCCGAGCATTCTCTTTTCCACAGAGAGTAATATTTTCCTTGCCATTGATTCAAAGCCCATGGAAAATCTCAACTCTTTCGCGGCCTCTCCCTCACCGCCTTAAAAAAAATAGGCTTCGGGCTACTTGTTCGGAATAAGGCAGTGTCGACGGTCTTGCATAATATCATTCTAGTCTCTGCCTCAAAACTTTCGGGATAGAGCTCCAGGTTGACAGCTTTATCCAAGCTTGCAGGGAAAAGGTTTTAAAAAAAACCCAGAGAAAGCTTATATAGAGGTCCAAGGTCCCCAACCCAGCTGGGGGGGTGGAAAGCGACCAGATTGAGCCAAGCTGCGCCAGACTTCCTTCGGGTGCAACTTCGAGGAGGTCGGTCTCCCCGGGCCTTTTCTGAGACGCGAAGCTGAGGGAGGCTTCTCAGGAACGAAGTCCCTTCTCAAATTGATCTGGACCAGCAGAGGGAAGGGGGTCCCCGCCCCAATTCCCGCTTGGAGCAGCGGCTGGGGTAGGGAAGACCGAGGAGGCTTGGGCAGTCATATTTACACCTTTTGAAAGTCCGGTGATCTCCTGGACCGGTGTTTGTTTTTTTTCAGGGAACACCTCTTTGGCCGCCTCTCTGCTTCGGGTCTCCCCAAACTGCTGCAGAAGAAGGCCCCCAGAGGCCTGCCGAGAACTGGAGGAGTCCTCGGAAGGTGGCCCTGACTTTAGGGCAAACTAGGCCATTCCCTCAAGAGCAATCGGTGGGCCCGGATAAGGCTTGGAGGAGAGGGGGAGAGAGGGAGAGAGAGAGAGAGAGAGAGAGAGAGAGAGAGAGAGAGAGAGAGAGAGAGAGAGAGAGTAGGCGGGGTGTGTGTGTGTGTGTGTGTGTGTTTCTGGCCGGTGCACTCCCTCCCGTCCATCGGATCTGCTTGTTGCCTTGGAAAAGCTAAGATGCTAAGGGCCTCTCAGCTGGGTCTCCTTGGCTGCCGGCTCCTTATCACCTGGCCCTCCCCATGTCCGAACCCGTGAGTTGTACCTCGAGGAGAAACGGGAAAGCACGAGGGTGCCTAGTCCGATCCTTTGGGCGGGTAGTTGCCTTTGTCTGAGGTGAGCCTGAGATGCAGCATCAGTAATGGGGTTCTTTCCCACCCTCCATTCAGCTGGGAGCCGAGATCCACGGCTGGTTTGGTTTCAGCTGGTCCTCTCTAAATCGGGACCCTACACGCTTGCATCTGACAAAGCCAGTCACAAGCGAGAGACAAGGGCCGCTCCAGAACCGGCTGAAATCCGACCAACCTTGGTTGGAACCGGGCTCTTTTCACACGGTTTAAAAAGCGAAATCCAAGGCTCCATTCTGGGGAGTCGCTTGTTCCCTGCTTTTGCTTTGTTCTAATTGGAGAATGGCCCTGCAGCAGCCACGAACCGGAGCCCCTTGCCCCTTCCCTTGAGGGGGCTGCTCATCGAGAACTCGTTTTAGCTTGATGGGGGAAGAGGGAAGAGCGCGCAGTGGAGGAGAGTGAGAGCAACCAATGTGCAAAACAAGTGAAAAGACCCGTTCAGATAAAAGGCCGTTTTTCCCACTACTAACACTGCTAGTACCGTCCTGTTGTTATATCAGTAATGAGGACAGGGCCAAATCGCCAAAAGGTTGGCCCAGTGACATTATTTGTACAGCCCAAACGCAAAAGTGACAAGCCACTGTAAAGAAGTGGTGTTGTTCTATTCTTCTGTCTTTTTTTTTTTTTTTCCATTTTGAAAATATCACCTCCCGGAAATACCTAATAAGATGCGGATAGGTGGAGGCGCTTAGATAAACCTCTGCCTTTGAGAGCATTTCTGGAGGGCCTTTGCATTCCTGCTTTGGGGTATGCTTTACGCAGAACCTATTTTCTCTTCTTACTCCATAGCCTAAATCCTTGCAACAATTCTCCATCCTGCCTTTATGTTGGATATTAATGAACAGGCAACCTCGGCTTGCAGAGCAGCTCTACTTAAACCCCCCCCAAGCTTTGCTGCTAAGAAAGGATTGAACTGATAGCCAGAGGCAAAGAATGCGACCCTGAGAGGAAGAATTGCTGTAAGCTGGTTTCAGCAATGAAGGGTTGTGGGTCTACAGGGAGATTCTCCAGCTCTCTATTGATTAATCAATGGCGAGAATCCAGAGCGGAAATTCCAGAGCAAGACATTAGCAGATTTTGCCACTGGAACAAATCCGGCTGGATCTCCGCTCCGTTTTACATCCCCCGCCGCTAATTTGCCGTTGTCAATTTGAGTATCGCCTTTCAGAAGCTTTCAGGGGAAGTAAAATGGACGGGTATTTCCATGAAATGATTTTAAGCTATGCCTGTTCTTTAGGATATATAGCCAAGAAGGCTGAGGTTAGGATTGGAATTCGCCTGGATAAGGAAGGGAATAACTTTTGGAACTAGGGTTCAGGAATTGGTGCTCAACTTTCCTTGAGGCTTCTTGACCCTCAAACAGAGCTTCAAACAATAAGCACTCCAGAGTTTGCCTTTTTTTTTTAATCAAAGAAAGAAAATAGATATTGATTGGATGTTTCCATGACCTATCTCTTTCCTCCCGACTTCCGAAAGATGTAAAAGAATCTGAGTTATTGTGTCCTTGCTTTTTGTTACTGTTGGCTTGGCAAGTTGGCGAAACTAATGTGGCTTCTTCCTTCTACGGTATGAAGTCTTTGGGGGAAATTCCTCAAATTTTGTTCAGTTCTGTGGGATTTGCTTCTGCATAAACGGTGCCTGAGAAGACTCAGCACCAAGTAATAGGGCAAAAGAGTTCATACTGGATGTGTTCCAAGTCCCAGGGATTTTAATAGGTATGTTTTAAATGCACATAAAACTGAACTGAATTAGAGAACTTGAATAGAGCCTGTATTATTATGATGTTAAGTGTTTACAACAATGTGAAGTCACAGCTGCCAATTCTTTAGCTGGTGTTGACCTTCATACGCATCAAGTTCTTCCCAAGAACCCAGGATGCCATTATGTATGGGCTAGTATATGTGTATATCCAAGCCTTTTGCAATTGATTGGTGGACTACGAACCCAATAAATTGAACTGAACTGAATTGACTGATGGAAATTTTATCAGTGTGCAGATTTTCTAAGAATTGCCCAAGATTTTTTGGGGTATAGCACCCAGTGTGCTGATATGGTCAGTTGCCTAGTCAGCCAATTATTTAGACTGGATTGGCATTTTTATTCATCTATCAAGGCCTTCCCAAGGATTTGGAATATTCTTATTCTTATTTTATAGCAGTGGTTGGTGCAAAATTAGGAAACATGGTTTAATGCAATAATACAGATTTGAGCCCCTTTAGCGTGCAGTATTGTGAAACATTGAGAAGTAAATCTGTATGTTTTCAGTTGTACCTCAATTGAATGAAAAAGTGTACAATTGTATGTTCTTACAAGTGTACTTTTTTATATCCTGCTGCACCCAAAAGTAATTTATTTATTTCTCATTTCACCTAAAGATCACAGTACAGCTCTGATTATTTCTAAATTTATTTATACAATAGAATTGAAAGCTATCCTTAAGAAGCAGCTGAAAAGTTTCAAAACTGGAACTATATATAATTGTCATACATTTATGATATACGCTTGTGTCTGTACATTTGTTCTACAGTAAAAGGATTTATGCGTCAGTTTAAAAGATAAGATTTATAGGTTGCATATATAGCTGTAAAAGAAAATACGGGATTATCCATTTCCACATATATGATGAGAAAATGGTAAATACACATTTAATGTTGTGGGGTCCTTTGTGCTCTCTGAGCTTGGTTGTTTTCTTGTAGACATTTCATTACCAAACTAGGTAAAATCTAATTTCATTTTTGCCTAATTAAAAAAAGAGAGCAGTAGCTGCATTTTTTTGAAAATTATTTTGGTACTTTTTTTTAATTTTTTAGCAGCAGTGCTTGCTTGCTAGCTTGCTTTCCAAAAGACTAATCTGTTGCTTCTGGGACCAAAAGAAAGACGAAGAAAGAATTTCATGATTTCTGGGAGCAGCTTAATAAAATAATACCTTTAAGGAAGCCAATATTGACCGCTGTCTTAATGCCTCGCAGACGCACTTCAAAACCCCAAAACCTCAACAAAAACAGAGTCAATTCCATACTGGAAATAACTAGGCTTTCCTGACATCACAGGAGCTTATTTACAACCCTGGAAGGGTACCATGAATTTCCATAATCAATGGAAAATTTCGCCGTATTGATTTACGATGGAAGGGCTCCCTTGAAGTTACCGGCTGCTGAGCCCCTTGGAAATGCTTCCAACTAAAGAGGCCTGGATCGCAGCTTTAGGTCCTCGATATTTGCGGTCAAGCACAGCATCCGTGGGATTGCGCTGTCCTTACCACCCCTGTTCCAGAAGAAGCGCTTCCGACACCCCACCCCGGGAGAACTCGCAAGGGGGCTCCGTTCACCTTTAACCCATAGCCCTTCAAGTTTAATCCCAAACCTCATGGGTGCTGCTTTGCCCGCACCCCTGGGTCCCTGCAACTTTGATTGCTGGCAGAAAAAGGCGCAGGGATTTGCTTGCAATGAGCACGCCACAATTCCTCAGAAAGAAATCCTGTTCTTAACCCACAGAGCCAAGACCTTTAGAAGGTGGCGCTTGCAGCTTTGGGACACCCCACCCCACCCCACCCCCACCCACGACCCGATGTCAGCCTTCCTCAATAGGAAGGACTAAATAGGCCACCACCTTGAGACTTGTAGAGATTGAGGTAATGGGAAGGGACACCCCGGGCATGCGAAGGCACCAGATTGAGCCCAGAAAGGCACAACAGTCAGGCTTGGATCGTTTATCGCTGTTCCCGAGTTTCTTTCCTACAGGGCAGCTCTTAAACCTGGAAAAAAGAACGTGTGAGCCTCTCCTCAAACTCTTGCTTAGACCGGTCAGATGCTTGTGAGGTCAAAGGGGAGCCCTGCCGAAATCGGACAGCCCCCCTCCCCCCCCCTTTTTTTTTTTTAAAAAAAAAATCCGGCTAGAGGCTACCATTACTGTAGCCAGTCACAGCAAACCCCAGACCAAACTTAACTGGAAAAAAAAAACATCTGTCCCAACAGGCTGCTGCCATAGTCCAGCTTGTCCAGAAGGTGCCGTCCTGCAAAAGGGAGGCCGTTGCCCTCTTTCTCCCCGCTCCACCCCCGTTCAGCTTGTTTCTAAGGGGCTGCCAGAGCCCCGGGGGAATGCAGAGGGCTGAGAATTGGGGGGGGGTTCTGTCCCAGGAAACACAGGCGGCTTGATGCGCCTTCTCGCAGCCTCTCTACCGTAGAAGCTGGGGGCGAGGAAAGGCAGCGTCAGGATCGCAGCTCAGGGCAGTCTGTAGAGTCCGCCGTTCCTGAAGTGAAACAGAACACGGGGGCTTCGTTTTGCCCTAGCCTCTCACAGGTTATATTTGCCTTTCACCCACTCTGTCTCTGTCTCTCTCTGTCTCTCTCTCTCCTTCCTTCCTTCCTTCCTTCCTTCCTTCCTTCCTTCCTTCCTTCCTTCCTTCCTTCCTTCCCTCCCTCCCTCCCTCCCTCCCTCCCTCTCTTTCTCTCTCTCTCTCTCTCTCTCTCTCTCTCTCTCTCTCTCTCTCTCTCACACACACACACACACACACACACACACACACACCGGGGTGAGGGGGTGAGGTGGGGATTTCTCTGTTTTTACCCGGCGTCCATCCCGTGTGTCACCCCCTCTGTCTCTCTGCTTTCCTCTCTCCCCAGCGGTGCTGAAGGCGGAGCAGGCGGCGGTCTTCAAGTTCCCGCTGGCGCCCTTGGGCTGCTCGGGTCTGAGCTCGGCGCTACTGGCGGCCGGCTCCAGCCTCCAAGGCGGTTCCGGATCCCCGCACCTGCCGCTGGAGCTGCACCTCCGCGGGAAGCTGGACCCGGGAGCCCCCGAGGGGGGCGGGAAAGCTAAGAAAGGCCGTCGGAGCCGCACCGTCTTCACCGAACTGCAGCTGATGGGCCTGGAGAAGCGCTTCGAAAAGCAGAAGTACCTCTCCACCCCCGACAGGTGGGCAGCCCCCGGAGGTCAGAGTCCCGCGGGGGGAGGAATGGGGGGGGGCTTACTGTGTGGATGTGCGAGCTCGCAGGAGAGAGGTGACCAGAGGGGTTACGCCGAGGAGAGTTTCCCCCCCCCCAGATCTGCAAGAGGAGGATCGGGGAGGGGGAGATGGGTGCGACCAATCTACCTGACCAATCTGCCAACCTGGTCCAGTAGTGACCAACCTGGTCCAGTAGTGTATCATGGAAGAGAATGTGTGTGTGTGTGTGTGTGTGTGTGTGTGTGTGTCCCCGCACTTCCGACAAGGGAGTCCTGAGTGAAAACCGGGGCCTTCTCTCGCATGGGGGGGGGGAGCGGTAGAGGGCAGGAGGATTAAGGTTTCTCAAAGGGTTGAAAAAAAGCGAAGGTAGTCTGTTTGTCTGCCCCCCCCTCCACACACATACACACACCACTCACTCACTCACTCACTCACTCATTCGCTCACCTCTTCCTGGGATCTTAAAGCTGAACCGGACAAGCACTTTCTGAGCAGGAAGCGTAGCTGCTGATCAAACTGCAACTGTGCTCCACTTTCTTGGAAGCCAGCCGGCCTCGGCTCAGGCTCCGGCTCCGGGCAGAGAATGTGTGTGTTTGTGTGTTTGTGTGTGTGTGTTTGCGTGTCCGCACTTCCAACAAGGGAGTCTTGAGTGAAAACCAGGGCCTTCTCTCGCATGGGGAGGAGTGGTGAGGACAGGAGGATTAAGGTTCCTCAAAGGGTTGAAAAAAAGCGAAGGTAGTCTGTTTGTTTGCGCCCCCCCCCCCCCATATACACACCTCACTCACTCACTCACCTTTTCCTGGGGTCTTAAGCTGAACGGGACAAGCACTTCCTAAGCAGGAAGTGTAGCCGGGAGCTGCTGATCAAACTGCAACCTGTGCTGGGGTCTTGCCTTTCCTGGAAGTTAGCCGGCCTCTCAGGGCTGCTCCCGGCTCTTCTTTTCAGGCTCCGGGCTGGAAAGAGGGCGGAGGGCTCTGCCTTCAGTGCGCCAGACACACTTAAGAGCAGCCAGTGTGGGAGAGGCAAGCAGAGCGGACCAACCATCAATGCATCTTTCTCCTCCCTGTAGGATAGATCTGGCGGAATCCCTGGGCCTGAGTCAATTGCAGGTGAAAACCTGGTACCAAAATAGAAGAATGAAGTGGAAGAAAATAGTAAGTGTGCTGTTTTGAAGTTCAGGCTATGAACTTTTCACCCAGCCCTTATTTACACAGCCAAACTGAGGAAGTCTACCCTCCTATCAATGGGATGTTGTCGGAAAAATAGACCTAGGGCTTCAATCCTTCCTCTCAGGGGGATCCCTTCCTTTGGGGCACAACTCCCATCATTCCCAACCAGTATGGGCATTCCGCATTGGAAAAGCAAGCTGGCTGCGTGAGGAGTTCTTCTGGGAATACAATACAGAGGCAGGATTTCTTCTCTCTTCCTGGGCCCAGGCCTCCAGCCTTCGCCTATGGAAGCTGTGCCTCTACAGCAGTGAAGATTTCTGCCGGGTCCACAAGGAGCCCACCAAATGTGCTTTTTAAAAGGCAAACGGGCTTTCTTGGGATTTTGTTTTTGTTTTCTCAGAAACTTTAGTTTCTGAGAAAAGAGAACCTAACGAAAGTTCAGAACTGAAGAAGCTTCTTGGATGAGAAGTGAAACATTTTCAAGGTAAAAATTAAGAAAGTCCAGCTGCCTTTGGAAAAGCACCTTTGGGCCAACCCTGACCTGGAGGATTGAGAATCTCCATAGACATTTAGCCGCCCAACCAGGCAGGGCAGAGCTATTTTTTCTCATCTCAAGGCCCAAGGCTGAAAGTCTGCTTGTGGTCCCTCGCAAAAATAGGGGAGAAGCCTTTCAATAAAGTGGAAGCCAGCTGGTTTTATGAACAATACAAGCCATGGCATGCTCAAATCACAGACATGGGGCCAGGAGGAGACTTAGGGAACACGGGTTATCCTGCCTTGGAGCTTTCATCTAGAGAGGGCGTCAAGCACGCCTTAGAGGCAAAAAGAAGATTCCACTGAACTCAGTGGGGGTTTTGATTAGGCCCCCCCAAAAATCCAACATTTTCTGACCAGAATTATTAAGGCCACATCTCATCCCATTTCCAGGCAGCCCTATCTGCTTTGGCTGAGGATGATAAAAGTTGTCTATGGAGATTCTCGGTCACCCAGGTCCTGGTTGTCCCAAAGGTGCTTTTCCAAGAGGCAACTGGACTTTCTTGTTTTTCTTTGAATAGAATAGAATAGAATAGAAGCTGGAAGGGACCTTGGAGGTCTTCCAGTCCAGCCCCCTGCTCAAGCAGGAGGACATTTGAAGACGTTTCACTTCTCATCCAAGAAGCTTCTTCAGCTCTAAAGAAGTTTCTTGGATGAGAAGCGAAGCGTCTTCAAAGACAAAACAAGGTCCATTCGCCTCTTGAAAAAGCGCCTTTGGGATAATGATGAGAGTTGTGGCCCAACGCTGCTGAAGGGCAGCGGTTGGAGAAAACTTTTTTTCCGGAAGGAGCTTAATCTGTAACTAACCCGGCTGCATTCTTTCTGTTCAGGGAGAATCCCTGGTTTGAAAGGCAACGTCAGTCTGTATCCTTCAAAATGCAGCATTTTACAGAGTAGCAGCTGATTTTCCAAGCCATACCCGGGAGAAGGAAAGGCAGCCGCCTTCCTTAACCGGCGCGTCCTGAACCCTGAACACAGCGTAACCTATGCTCTCGTCGTTTCAAAGTAACCACTCGTAGCCCGTTTGCCACAGATGAAACGGTTGCTTATTTACCTCAGTTTCTAATCCCATCCGCGTGGAAGTGAATTTGACTAAAGGGCGCCGCGACGAGAAACGGCGCCTTTGTTTTTCACCCGCCTGAAATGCGAGGGGAGGGAGGGAAGGAAGGAAGGAATCCAACGAAAGAGACTTTTCTCCACTTCAAGGGGTCTTGCTAGGCCAGGGGTAGGCAACCTTGGCTCTTTTATGACTCGTGGACTTCAACTCCCAGAATGCCTGAGCCAGCCGTGCTGAGGAGAAATGGAGAGGTTTTCATGCTGAGCCATGCTGGCTCAGGAATTCCGGGAGTTGAAGTCCACGAGTCATAAAAGAGCCAAGGTTGCCTACCCCTGGGCTAGGTAGAGGCTGACCGGCTCGGCGTTTGCCTTTCAAGCTCGAGTTCAGCACTCAGGAACCGTCTCCGCAAAGGCGCGCAGGCGGAAATAGAGGCCGAGGCAGGCGGCCGGCCTGTTACGCAGCGCCAAGCAGCAATAGCGTCTTTTCATTGGGCGCGGGGGCGATTCTGCATTTCCCAACCCTCCCAGCAAGCTTCGCTCCCCAGCGTTAACTACTGTGGCGTTTGGATTTGGTCTAAGTCAGACCCTTTGTGACCTTTAAGTGTGGGTTGTTTTTTTTTTTTTGTTTAAACAGGTTTTGCAAGGCGGAGGCCTTGAGTCTCCCACCAAGCCCAAAGGCCGCCCGAAAAAAAACTCCATCCCCACCAGCGAGCAACTGACCGAGCAAGAGCGAGCCCGCGAAGCCGAGAAGCAGCCCGCGGAAAACCTCGACTCTCCCTGCCAAGCCATCCAGGAATAATAAAAGGAGCGCCGCGTGCCCGCGGACTAACGATCTGGCGCCCGGATTGCGGAGGCTGGACTGCTGGCGCCCGAACCTCCCGGCTTGGCCCGGAAGGGTGACTGGGACCTGCGGCCGTCCAGAACTGAACCTCAGCCTCGCGGGGCCTCGCTGAGCGACGAGGCCCCCGCCGGCTTGCAATGCTACCCCGTGGGTCGCCTGCCTTGAGCGCAGACAGCGGGGCTCCACTGAAGCCCTGGGTTGCAGAGGTCCTGCGGCCCTTTCGCCGCCGTTTAAGGAAGTGGCCGCGTGGAAGAAGGCGACGGGGACGACCCGGGGATGGAGGTGAGGGGTGGACTCCGATTCCCAGTTGATTCCGTTGTAGGATTTCCTAGGCGTCTGAGCCCTTCCGCCCTCTCCCTGCGTGGGCCTAAGGAAGAACCGCTCCCTCTTCTTGGGAGGTTCGATCGCGGCTGTTCCCGCGCTGGGTCAGAGAGGGGCGGGGAGGGGGCGGGGAGCGTCTCCGAACTTATCCGGCTAAACTCATTTTACAACCAGTTTGTATTAACGTAAAGATATTGATTTTTATTTCAATAAAGTATTTTATGAACGATGGGCCTCAGAGAGGCGTGCTGTGCGTTCGTTTTCCCGGGGTTGTGCCAAAGGCCACCCTTGTCCTCCCGCAGGCCTCCTCGCGAGGAGGCCCCGCGGGCGATCAAGGGGGCTTCCTCCGAGGTAAGCCTGCAAGTAAGTTCGTGTTGGGGAAAAAAACCAGCCCGATCGCAAAACGAGAATCGAGAGGCACGCCGAGCAGTTGCGAAAGGAAATTTGGCTGAAAGAATTTGGCGCGCAGCCCCGAGCTCTGATCTGGGGTCCTTATTTATTCTCTGCTTAAGATCAACTTGGTCTGCGCTGCTCCGAATTGATTCAGCGCTGGGCTGGTAAGAATCTGAATGGGACGCGTTCAGAACATTCTAAGGCAGGGGTAGTCAACCTTGGCTCTTTTATGACTCGTGGACTTCAACTCCCAGAATTCCTGAGCCAGCTGTGCTGGCTCAGGAATTCTGGGAGTTGAAGTCCACGAGTCATAAAAGAGCCAAGGTTGACTACCCCTGTTAAAAAAAACCAGGAAAAGCGCAGGGACGTGCCCAGGAGGACCATGGAGGCGCACTCCACTTGTAGGAGACTTGGCTTTTCTCATTAAACCCACGGAGCTGCAGTTCAGCAAAATAAACCGCTGAAACAACCCCGGAACCAGTTCCAAGCAGCTTTTACCCGGTGTATCTCTGTTACACCAGCCACCACCCCCGCCCTAAGGTTCTGCCCTGAAAAACAGTGAAATGTCGCCGGTTTGGGAACCTATCTTTCCCTTCTGCCCCTTGAGCGGAGCAGCTAAACCTCGTGAGAGCTCAGATCCCCAAAAGGCCACTAAACAGAAGTAGAAGCTAACAGCGCCCGCTGTTTTAAGAAGGGGGTCGCTTGTGGATTCAGTGAGAAACAAGTTTGATAGCGTTCAGGAACCTGTTCTTAAATACATGCATTTAGGGCAGGGGTAGGTAACCTTGGCTCTTTTATGACTCGTGGACTTCAACTTGGCTGCCTCAGGAATTCTGGGAGTTGAAGTCCACGAGTCATAAAAGAGCCAAGGTTGCCTACTCCTGATTTAGGGTAATACTCATCCCGAGAACTCTTTTTCCTGAAACAAAAGAAATGGACTTCCGAGTAAAGAACCCCCAAGGCCATCAGACTTGAAATCAGTAAGGCAAGCGGCTCGGGAATAAAACGTGGTCAGTTTTCCAAAAACTGGTTTGCTTTTGAGCGTTTTGAAACTTCCGCGTAAAGACAAAGCAGAATCTGCTTCAGTTGGTGCTTCACTTTTTAAGTGCAGGGCGGTAAATTTCAGCGGTTACTTTTCCACGTTCGTGGACCTCTTCTTTCGTTTGCTTTGGTCACCTTCGCTTATAGTAATTGAAAAAAAAAGGGGAATTGGCTAAAACCAGTCTCCGCGCTTTCCTCTCATGCTCTGCAGAGCACACCGCGGCCAAGGGGCAGAGTTCATATAGAGACGATGGAAAGCCATTTAGACATGGTCTAATGGATAAACTGCAAGTTAATTGAATTTATAGAAGAGGTTTAACTAATGATGTAGTGGAATGCATGGATACAATGCATGAATGTATCCGATCACTAGCAACCCGCCTAAAACTTTAGCAGGGCCGCTCGAACTGTATATCCAGATGGGTGATTCTAAGTAGGAGCAATTGGTTTTTTGTTTTTTTTAACAAATGGGGTGGGGTTTGGATAGTTTCCGTTTCTTCTTTCGAGTTCCTAGGAGCAGAATTAAGGCACTCCTTCCCTCAAGCCATCTCATTACCTAGTCCTATAGCCTAATTTGAAGCCTGCAGGAATCCTATTTCCCATTTTAAGGCAGCCTGGGTGGCTTTCAACATTCCCTCTCCTTTTGGATTCTTTGTGGGTTGGTCTAATGCAAAGTTTTGGGAGAGACTGGAGCTCGCACATCCTTTTGTGACCCCCCAGTGGGCCCAGGGAAGGGGTCACCCTGAGCTTGACTTCCAATAAACCTACCCCCACCTTTAAAAAACAAAAAAACTCTCCCACGGGGAAAAACCGAGAAAGGCACAGAGAGTCTTTTGGGAACTAGGGCAAGACAATCCTAAACACAAACACAAAAGCAGCTGAGCCGAAACCTTGCATTCTCCTGCAGTAAGTATAATTGCAGGGGGGGACCAGGCTTACTTCTCTCGTGAGCATCCTTTCATCCTATATAGATTCTATAGTACAGAAAGAGGGGGCCCTTATTTCCAAGTATTTCGTAGTAGCCAAGATGAGCCAGAGACCAGCGGATTTATCGCGGTATAAAACATTTTCTGCTAAGTTGGGCAGAAAGTTCTCGGTGTGCTAAGTAAGCCCTCAGGGAGACTTTAGGTGTTGTACTTTGGCAGAAAGCACCCCCCCCCCCGAGCAAACGGGGCTTGCTCCCAATAAGGCAATAGAGAATAAAGACTCCAAAGAAGTGAACGTCGACCGCTCGCCTTTGAGCCTAGAAAGGAAGAAGGTCGGCCATGGTATTGTTCGCGGAGGAACTGCAGTTTGTTTCTTGGTTCTAACTGCCTTCATGAGGCATGGCTCGTCCCGGGTTATGTTTCTCAGCTGTAGCTCCCCAGCTCGCTTATCCTAACTCTACAGCATGCTGGGATAACACAGGGAGACAAAAACCTCACGGTTTCCCTCCCTCTCTTTTGCAGGCGTTCAAAATGCCGCCCACCAAGTTCCTCGTATTATCCTGGCTATCCTTTTATTAACTCCAAACTTCTCCAGTCTGGTGTGCTGGACTTCAATACGGCAGCTGAGAGTTTTGGGAGTAGAAATCTAGCGTATTCTAGGAGGACCGTAGTGTGTTGTTAGTCTCGAATATAATTTTAATTTATTTTTATCTCGCCTTTATTATATATATATTAATAAATAACTCAGGGCAAGAAACATGCCTAATACCTCTTCCTTCTATTTTCTCCACGACAATATCTCTGTGAGGTGAGGTGGGGTGGGCTGGGCTGTGAGAGACTGGCCCCAATTCAATGCCTTCATGCCTAAAAAGGGACTAGAACTCGGAATCTCCCGGTTTCTAGCCTGCCGCTTAACGCTTAAATCAAACCGGCGATGATATGTGACGTGACATGACTGGACCCCCTTTAAATTTTCCCACGGGACGGTAGCCTCGGATACCTGAGGTTTGAGACTGGCGCAAATTCCCCCCTCCGGTCTAATCTTCCCCCTTTGAAATGGGTGGGCTTGAAATATCCTTGGCTCTAGGTAATCTAAGCGACGGGTGATTCCACAGCCCACCTCCACCCCCCCAAATAATCTTTCCAACAGCAGCCCAGGTTTTGGGGAAGCTGGCAAAGCCTCTCCGGAGACTTTCTGCAGGTTCGCTGTCTCCAACATCTAAACCCAGTTTGCATATTGAAAAAAGATGGAGCAGCCTATCTTGAAGGAAAAGAAGACTTTCTCGGAACCAGCGGGGGAGTAAAACATGTGAAATGGGCTTCAGTTCTTAGCGCTGTCCTTGGAAACGGACTCGGAGGCCTGCGGAAATCAACTCTTAGCCTGGGACTGGTGCCCCGGTTATTGTTTGGACTTGCGCCTTAATCTTAAACACGGAGGCTTAATATTTATTCGGGGTATGTCCCACTTTAATTTCAGGGTGCTCTCATTTATGCATTCATAAACTTTACTGACAATCCCCATCCCAAATCGCTCTTTCCACAATTTTATTTTATTCAGGCAGGAGCCTTCAAAACAGGTTAGCTGAGAAAGAGGTTTGGAGAGGGGGTTGGACTAGATGACCCCTTCCAACTCTTGTTATTCTGTATTCTAGATGAGGTCGCTCAGACCTGGAGAGGGCGGGTGCTGGGTGCTGGACGGCAGCAGCGAGACTGCGAAGAGGGAGGCGGCGACTAGAGGGCAGCAAACGGGAGAGAGAAAATATCTCCTTGGCTGCCATCTAGAGGTCATTCCGATTTCTGCAGCCCTACTCAATGTAACCTTTCCCATCGGTGGAGAATTTAGGATTTCAGGGCTCAATCTGAACGCGAGAGAGGAGAATGGAAACGAGCGGGGCGTGTTCGAACGGCCCTTTTAGCAGGCAGTCAGTCCTCAGCTGGCTATTATTCTCAATATGTCGTTAGAAAACTAACAGGAGATGGTGTTGGGTTCGGAAAGACGTCGCCTTTGAAGCTTGCGTTTTGGCGACCGTCAAGTCTGGAGTAAGCTGCTGCCGCCGCCGCCGCCGCCGCCGTCTTTAAAAGAGTAATTTGCTTTGCGATCCATCCAGACGCGCATTTGTCCCTGGCCCGAGAGGACTTGAACGTCAGAGCTAAGCCAGCGGAGGATCGCCTCCAAAGAAGCGCGCAAGTGACTTGGGAAGTCGCAACGAAGCGGTAGGCCTGGAGTGTGGACCTCCTCTTTTTCTTTTAGCTTTCGGAGGACGCGGGACCCGCTCA